AGCCTTGAATTGCTTTTGGAAGGAGAAAAGGTATAAATATATACACACATGGGTAAGAAATGAATGCTGAGAGGCAGCCCCTACACTCCTTGTTCTCTGTTCCTCTCCTTTTAGAATGGGCATCAAGGCCACAGTAGGCAAAATGAGGAAGGATATGAGGTTGGGCCACTGAATGCCCCCTTTGGGACTTCCCTGTCCCCCTCCTCCTCCCTGCTCCTCAGGCTACATCAGCATCCTTTCCCATTCTAGCTGGTGCGGGAAGCAATAATGACATGAGGTTATTGAGATGCTAGGAGTGGAAATAATTAGTCGGCTGTCCCTCTCTGATTTCCACAAATGCCGCCTTTGTGCTGAGGCCCGAGCCCCCAGTCCATGTGGGGCACAAGGGAGGCAGGAGAGAACAAGGCGTGCAGTGTCTCGCTGAGCTGCTGCGAGCACCACTCCACTGGTGATTGGGGTTTTAACCTTTTTGGAAGAGGCTGCCAGCCGCACACTCTCCTGATATCCTCCCGAGGAGCCAGAGGAAGGACTGCTAAGTGCTCCACTATTGATTAAAGCATCGTGTTTGGGTATTTGGGCCTCACTCATCCCTTCTCCTATAATGAAAGGAGCCCAACATGAGAGACACAACTGGACATCCAAAGGGATATATATAGCTCTAAGGTGCCAGGAACCAGCGGCGATGGGTACTGTAGCAGAGAATCAGGCTGTTAAATCATAGCCTTGAATTGCTTTTGGAAGGAGAAAAGGTATAAATATATACACACATGGGTAAGAAATGAATGCTGAGAGGCAGCCCCTACACTCCTTGTTCTCTGTTCCTCTCCTTTTAGAATGGGCATCAAGGCCACAGTAGGCAAAATGAGGAAGGATATGAGGTTGGGCCACTGAATGCCCCCTTTGGGACTTCCCTGTCCCCCTCCTCCTCCCTGCTCCTCAGGCTACATCAGCATCCTTTCCCATTCTAGCTGGTGCGGGAAGCAATAATGACATGAGGTTATTGAGATGCTAGGAGTGGAAATAATTTTGCAGAACTTGCACTGCATGCACCAAGGTGACTGCTGGAAATATCTGGTTGTGCTTCACAGACCCCCCTGCAAACATGGCTGTCTAACTCTGCATACGACCGCAGGAGCCTATTTCCATTTGCTGACCCCTCAAGGACACACTCACAGCATAAGCACATTGCTCAAGTTCTCTCTGTGTCTATGTGCATGACTATTATGCATAACTCTGCTGGGTTGTTTCTGTCCATAAATGGAGCCTGGAGGTAGCTATTCACCAGGATATTTTAAAAAAGCAAATAAAAATGATTTTGCTACAAAAAATATTTGAGGTTTTAGAAACTAATCTCCACATGTCAGATTCCTCCCTGGGGTCTGGCTTTCTCATCCTTGCTTGGCCTCGTCTGTTGCATTTCAGACATGGCTTGATTTCTTTCTGCCCCAGTTCTCTAGGTCAGTGCAAATTGTCAAGGCGATCAAATATTTCCTGCAGCGTTCCATGCGTAGGTTCTGCATAGAGCAGAAACAGGAGAAAAGAAATAAAGGTTGCCTGGGAAGCCAAAGAAAAGATTTTGAAGGTATGACAATGGGGGCATTTGCGGATTACCGCTGGCTGGCTACTCAGGCACAGCTGAAGGTATGACAATGGGGTATGACAATGGGGACATTTGCGGATTACCGCTGGCTGGCTACTCAGGCACAGCTCCTTACTGCCATGTGGAAACAGAGGCCCAGCACACCAAGCCTTCCACTTCCTCAAGAGGAGTCAGAAGGCCAGGTCCTTACATAGATTGTTTTGATTTTTAATTGTTAGCTCAAAACACTGTGCAGCCAAACAAAACACAACTTGGGGGCCAGATGTAGGCCATGAAGTTGTCAGAAAGCAACTCTATCTAGAATGTAAGCAACATGAGCTCAGGAAGTAGGGCCTGGTGCATGACGAGGGGATGAGTGAGGTCCTTCCTTGGGCAGAGGGTGGACTGTCCTAGGAGAGACAATGGGAAGAGATGCTGGCAACATGGCGGGGGGGTCCTCATCATTAAGGGGGGGAAATAACTATAGAGTGAATGAACTTGAGCCACAGTCGCTGGGATGGAAAGGAAAGGGTGAAATAGCAGTAGACAAGCAAAAGAATTTCCAAAAAGCAGAACTCAGCAAAAGACCAGATGTGCAGGACTAGGGCAGTGATGAATCTTCCAGAGGAAGCCTGCCATGAACTTGGCCAGAGGGCTGAGGGGCTGGTCACGGGGGAGAGAAGGTAAACACATTTTTCTCCACTAGCTTCAAAGCCCTTCATCTGCCTCCTCCAGACAACCTTCTTTTTTCCTCCTCTATTCTCCCACAAAGGGGATCTGGGGTACCCAGAGGCCCCAGCACCAACAGAACCAGAGCCAAACCTATAGGTAATTATGTGCTGAGGTATTCATTCAGAAGACACTGTGAGCAGAGTTAACAGAGGAATGGGCCCGTCAGGGGAGAAGCACCGGAGAGGGACGGCATCTCTAGGGAAGTGGCGAGAACAGCTTGGGCTACTCGGTGTCATAGCACATTGGCTGAATGGTGTGGAAGCAACGACAGGAGGGGATGAGAGAGACTCAAATCGTTCTCAAGTCATAGATTATCAAAGCATGGGACAAGCCTTGGGTTCCAGTCCACAATTTTCCTAATGACTCACAAAGTCAAGAAAAAAATACTACAAAGAAAAGTGTTCCCGACAAGTGAGAAAAGGCAGACTCAAGTCTACTTCTCGGCTAAACAAGATGAGCCTTCTCATGGCGTGACTTTTGCGGGCGTCAGTCTACAAGAGGACGTTTATGATGATCAAATTGGGTTGGAGGCCTGGGCAAATCTCAGTTTTCACTTTAAAAGATAAACTTTATCAGGAGTTTAAGAACAAGAACAACTACCACCACTTGTTAACCAAAGAATTATTACAGTAGATAATATTTACTTCCTGGCTAACTAATTAGTAAATTAGTGATTGCTAACTAAGGATCAAGGCACTATACCAAGCCCTTTAAATGCACTATCTTGCCCTAACCGGTTTGGCTCAGTGGATAGAGTGTCGGCCTGCGGACTGAAGGGTCCCAGGTTCAATTCTGGTCAAGGGCATGTACCTTGGTCACGGGCACATCCCCAGTAGGGGGTGTGCAAGAGGCGGCTTCTCTCTCATTGATGTTTCTAACTCTCTATCCCTCTCCCTTCCTCTTTGTAAAAAATCAATAAAATATATTTTTAAAAAATGTACTATCTTGTAAATATTTACAACAATTCTATAAAGAGCTGGTGGCATCAACTCCAGTTTATCCATTAGGAATAAAAGCAAGACCTAGAGATGTCATGTCATCTGCCCAAGGTGACAAAGTACTTGAGTGACAAAGCGGAAGTCAGAGCGGAGACACTTCATTTCCAGGGCCCCTGTTCTAAGCCAGGGGTCGGCAAACATTTCCTACAAAGGACCAGATAGCAAATACTTTTGACCTTGTGGGCAATATGGTCTCTGTCACAACCACTAGACTCTGCCACTAAAGTACAAAAGCAGCCGTAGACAAAAGCAGGACATAAACATTGGGCATACCTGTGTCCCAACACAACTTTATTCACGGACACTGAAATTAGAATTTCATATCATTTTCATGTGTGGGGGAATATAATTCCTCTTTTAATTTTCCCCCAGCCATTCAAAAAAGTAAAAAACATTCCTAGCTCGTGGGCCGTAAGAAGACAGAAGGTGGGCTGAATCTTTTCCCATGGGCTATAATTTGCAGATCCCGACCTACACCACAAGGCTCTCTTGCCTTTGGACTCACATCCTTAGAAGCCCGGAGACACATTAGAATGAAACCTGTCAGAGGGCGTCTGGACGGGGCACACAACTCGGAAATACAATTGTGAGAAAAGACTGGACAGAGATGACTCTTCAAGTTACCCCTCTCAAAGGACACCGCCTCACCCCAGTTTACAAGTTGAAATACCTCTTTCTTCCTTTCGGTCCACTGCCTTGCTCCCTTCTGTTGAAATAAACCTTGATTCAGGTCAGTCTGAAACCAGGGCAGATTCTCGGTAAAACAGCAATGCCCTTCCCACACATGGTTTTCTGCAAACAGGAGCCCACTGTGCCCTTCTTACCTGCAGGGTTTGGCTGAAGCGCTTTAGCGGTGTAGCCTTCACGGGCGGGATGAGGTTTTTCTCTCATTGATGTTTCTAACTCTATCCCTCTCCCTTCCTCTTTGTAAAAAATCAATAAAATGTATTTTTTAAAAATGTACTATCTTGTAAATATTTACAACAATGCTATAAAGGAGCTGGTGGCATCAACTCCAGTTTATCCATTAGAAATAAAAGCAAGACCTTAGAGATGTCACGTCATCTGCCCAAGGTGACAAAGTACTTGAGTGACAGAGCGGAAGTCAGAGCTGAGACACTTCATTTCCGGGGCCCCTGTTCTAAGCCAGGGGTCGGCAAACATTTCCTACAAAGGACCAGATAGCAAATACTTTTGACCTTGTGGGCAATATGGTCTCTGTCACAACCACTAGACTCTGCCACTAAAGTACAAAAGCAGCCGTAGACAAAAGCAGGACATAAACATTGGGCATACCTGTGTCCCAACACAACTTTATTCACGGACACTGAAATTAGAATTTCATATCATTTTCATGTGTGGGGGAATATAATTCCTCTTTTAATTTTTCCCCAGCCATTCAAAAAAGTAAAAAACATTCCTAGCTCGTGGGCCATAAGAAGACAGAAGGTGGGCTGAATCTTTTCCCATGGGCTATAATTTGCAGATCCCGACCTACACCACGAGGCTCTCTTGCCTTCGGACTCACATCCTTAGACCCGGAGACACGTTAGAATGAAACCTGTCAGAGGGCGTCTGGACGGGGCACACAACTCGGAAATACAATTGTGAGAAAAGACTGGACAGAGATGACTCTTCAAGTTACCCCTCTCAAAGGACACCGCCTCACCCCAGTTTACAAGTTGAAATACCTCTTTCTTCCTTTCGGTCCACTGCCTTGCTCCCTTCTGTTGAAATAAACCTTGATTCAGGTCAGTCTGAAACCAGGGCAGATTCTCGGTAAAACAGCAATGCCCTTCCCACACATGGTTTTCTGCAAACAGGAGCCCACTGTGCCCTTCTTACCTGCAGGGTTTGGCTGAAGCGCTTTAGCGGTGTAGCCTTCACGGGCGGGATGAGGTTTGCTAGTGATGTGACTCTGGAAAGGGGTTTGACCCGTTTATTACTTGGCTCCTGTAGATAAAAAAAAAGAAAAGAAAAGAAGGAAGAAATGAAAATGTCGTCAATTATGAAGAAAACATAACTCCACCACAAGTCCTCCCCACTCATGAGCTGCATACGGACCTGTGAAATGCAAACAGTGCCCTGTCTCACTCCAGCTGCGCGGAGGTGACCTGGCTTAGGCACCCAAAGGAGCAGTGGCAGCCAGATGTCAACAGAAGCAGCCTCTGAGCGCACAGCTCATGGGCCCAGATCTGCTCCCTGCCCCCCACTCCCAATATCTGCCAGTTTTTAACTCAGTAAGATCATTCTTCCCAAACCCTCCTGAGAGAAAAGCTGCCTCAGATTCCCCATCCAATGACCTTGTCAGGCGCTGCCTTTGATACTTCTGGCTTTTTCTTTTGAAAAACCTTTCCTTCACCTTGCCTAAAGCCACTCTCCACCTTTCTTTATGCAATGGATTTTCTAAAGCATAGTTAATTAAATTTTTAAAAAAATTTAAAGAAGTTCTTCTATTCCTGGGCTCTTAAAAAAGCATATTTGATTTCTTTATGCAATGGATTTTCTAAAGCATAAGGAATCTTTTAGTTAATTAAACTTAAAAAAAATTTAAATTAGTTCTTCTATTCCTGGGCTCTTAAAAAAGCATATTTGCATCTTCAGTATATTTGAAATGTACACATTAATACTTACAAAGAATAATCAGACAGCAGAAGAAAAGGCACAAAGAGAAAACCCTGCCATGGGCATCGGTTTTTATATTATATACAACCGTAAGCTTTGAAAATCACCTCCATCACCTCCACATAAAACACTGTCAAAACTGCATGTTACCCCAAACCAAGCTGATGGGGGAGAGGGAGCCTATCCATTCCAGTGACTTTGCAGACAAGAATTACAGAAATCAAACAGCAGACTGAAAGACAGAGAGGACAGACAGAACATCCTGCAAGGACAAAGAGAACAGTTACCCTTGTCTTCCTAAGCTCCATCTGACCTGCGGTGGACGCTGGACAGCACATGAACACACCAGATTTTAACGGAAAAGGCCAAACGTGACAAACGTTGTGGCGAACCTCAATCATTTCCACAGGGAGTCTCAAGATGCTCATCTTTCTTTTTCAGCCATCGCTTTCTCTCAGAGTTTCGAGGGGTAAGCCAGAACTTCCGCTTCTCCAGGACGTCCCTGCAGGGTGTCCTGAACATAGTAGGTGCTTGGGAAAATCTCGTCTGGATTTGGAATTCTGCCAAATGTCATTTTATGCCCTTGCCAGCCTCGGAAATCAGAAGCCTTCTTTGACACAGACCCAACTTTTCTGGCATTTAAATACAAAAATAAGAACAATTCTACAATGTGGCCAGGAGTGATGGCACGGTTTCTCGAAGCAGTGAAGCACTTTTCCAAGACAGAGAATGAATCCAGGCGGCCGGCTACCTCGCCAGCTTCTCGGCTTGCTGAGCTGAGCAGGCAGCGGGAAACTCTCCCAACCCTGGGAAGGCTCAGTTCCAAAACGCAAAAGATAAATCTCTCAGTGAAAGAGAGCTCGCATTCTAATTCCTGGAGTGGCTGAGAGAAAGATCCAATAGCCCTCTGCTTCCAGGTGACAGTGCCCTTCAGGGTGCTCTCGTCCAAGTCCTGGCTCCTGAGCATCTGTCCTCAGAGGAGGATTTTAAAAATATGCTTTACGTAAGAGCTGCATCACTGGCATAATGAACACACACACACACACACACACACACACACACACACACACACACGCGCGCACACACACACTCTTGAGCACCCCCTGAATTCCTCTAAGTGGGTGCTGCCTTAGGCTGGCAATGCCAGCATAGTGATATTACCACCTTTGGTGGCATGAACGGCACTGCAGCAAGTGAGGTGAGAGATTTCCTGGGGTGGGGGCCAGGGCTTGGTCTCCAGTAACCCTGCACCCACCTCAGAACCTGGAGACTCCTGGGCCTCTGTTTCTTTAACGGCTAAAGCGGCTGGGTCACAGAGTCTATGTCAGAATGGGGAGATGGAAGGGCAAGTGCCAATTGGGTTCTCTCGCTTTAAAAGGGGGCAGGGAGCATTGCACGCTCGGCAGGATAGGAGAAGACTCAGCTCTGTTCCACTGCTGTGTCATCTTTTCTAAGGTTCTGCTGACTTTGCTGTCCTTTTACATGACCCAGTTGGATGGGCGTTTTCTGTGCAGCTACAGAACGCACGCATGATGCAAATGGATGCAAACGCCAGCTCCGCTGCAGGCTGTGCAGTGCTGCTAATGAGACTGCAATGAAAGCTCCCTTCCTAAGGCACTGACCATGTGGAAGTAAACATCGGGCTGCTCTCTGCCAGTCTCATTCCCAAGTAACGAACAACTGAACCAGAAACTATGGTTGCGTGAATTAGTGCTGCGATCCAGCAAAGCAGGCAGGTGCGATTTTAAAACCAGAACATTTACAGGCTACTGGGTCTATGGAGGTTTTATGCATGACCCACATGAGTAAAATATGAATTATGGTGTGCTCTTGGAGGGCTTCAGTGAGAATAGGCAATTAAAAAAAAATCTTGGCCTAATTTGATTTTTCTTTTCCATTTAGTCAGTATGTCTCCAGCTACCTTTAACTGCTGCCTAAAAAGAGCCCTCAGGGAAAATGTTTCCAGAGTCTAGTTAAATAGCTCTACTCAGAACTAGCAAATGCACTACCAGGGTTGCTTCCGGGCTTTACAGAGAGATGACAGAATACGACTTGCAGAGGCTTCCTAGTCTAACAACTCGATGGCCAGACCAAGCTGGGCAGGGTCAATGCTAAACCTAGGAGCAAGGTGTCCTGTTTCAAGTGCAGTCACCGCCCTCACCATGCAACTTCAAGACAGAGCAGAAGGGCAGCACACTAAATAAGTTTAAAAGAGAAGAAAAGTAAAAGGCATTGCATGTTTTGTGTAGGCAGCACTTTCTGAATAACAACACAGTTCTGTTGCATCTTTTCCAGCCTTATAGCTTTTTGTTTTTCTTGTCTTATTGCACTGGCTAGGACCACCTGTATATTGTTGATTACGGTGAGCTAGTGTGTACACTAGTCTAATTCCTGAATCAGAAGTGATTATTATGAAGCTTTCATCCTTAAGTATTATGTTTCTTGAGAGCATGGACAAGACACCCCTTTTCAAGTAGAGAAAGTTCCCTTCATGCTAAGTTTGCTGTGAATTGTTATCATGAATCCATATTAACTTTTATCAAATGTTTTTTTCTTTTTTCAGAGGACAAGGAAGGGAGAAAAAATAAAGGGAAAAAAGAAAAGAGGGTAAGAGGAAGGGGAGAATGAAGAAAGGCATGAAGGTCATATTTTTTTCATCAATCAGGGCATGTGCCCTGACTGAGAATCGAACCAGCAACCTTTCAGTGCATAGGATGATGCCCAACCAACTGAGCCACACTGGCCAGGGCTAGCACAATTTTTTTATTCCTTCAAAAATAATTCCATTCTAATAGGCATGACATACGGAAACCCCCACTCATTCTCCCTGCACCTCACTGTTGCAGCCTGAGTGGGGCTGGGAGCCACACCATAGTTGTAGCTGCCCCGAGACTATCTTCACTGGGCCATAAACACAGCCCAGAGGGCCCAGGAGCACAGCCACAGGTGTGGGACTTAGACTGTTCTACTGTAAGGCAGCACTGCTCCTGGCTGCTCTGCATCTGGCCAGGAGCAAAGGAGAGGAGAATCAAGTGTGCCAGCAGCAGATGCTTTTGCCCATGAGTTGCTGGAGTCATAAAAACATGCCTTTCCGGTACTTGGAAATGCCAGGGAAGGGTTATGGAGAGCTCCATCTGTGTAACAGGAGGTGTGCAGTTCCCAGGGGTCACATTTCACCCACCCAGTAACCCTCCAGGATGCTTTCATCACCTTCATGCTAAAAAGGAAGTTCCAACCTCAGAGTAATTGAGGAGCTCTAGCATTATTAAATAAGAACGAGCTAACAACAAAGTGATATGCCCTTCTCGGTGCATCACATCGGGGGTGCATTATGTCACTATATGCTATTACTGCTGATGTTAACTTTGACCTGTTGGATAAGGTGGTGTAATGGGTTGAACTGTGTCCCTCCCAAAAGATGTGCTGAAGTTCTACCCCCTGAACCTATGAATATAACCTTATATGGAAATAGGATCTTTGCTGAGGTAATCAAGTTAGGATGGAGCCACACTAGATTACAGTGGGACTTAAATCCAATCACTGGTGTCCTTATAAGAAAGGAAATTTAGACAGAGACACACAGGAAGAATGCCAGGCGATGACAAAGAGAGCAGCTAGAGTGATTTATCTACAACACACAGAACACCGAAGACTGACAGCCAACACCAGGAGCTAGGAAGGCAAGAAAGGATTCTCCCACGGGTTTCAGAGGGATCATGGCTGTGCTGAGACCTTAACTCTGGACTTCTAGTCCCCAGAGCCATGAAAAATAAATTTCTGTTATTCGAAGCCACCAGCACGTGGTACTTGGTTAGAGCAGCCCTGGGAAAGGAATACAGGTGTGTCTGTCGGATTTCTCGATTGTAAAGTTACTAGCACAGTAGCCACCCCCACCACCCTCGGGGAAAATGTTCCAAGACTCCCAGTGGATGCCTGAAAGGGACTGTACTGAACTATACATACGATGTGTTTTTCCTAAACATACATATCTATGATAAAGTTTTATGTTTTTATCATCTTAACTAAGCACTTATCATGCACTGTGGCCATAACTTTTGCAGTTTGAGCAAAACTAGCACAATGTTCTTTTTCCTTCTTTACAATTTCACAGAAGATTTGTTCTTACTGCAGAGTTTAGCAACCTCAGCATATAAGTTTTTTTCTTTCCTTACATAGAGAAATTTCACCTTTTCACTTAAAGGACGCACTTTATGGCTTCTCTTTGGCATATCTGAATTGCCAATATCACTACTCGTGTGCTTTGGGCCATTAGTAAGTAAAGTAGGGGTGACTTGAACACAAGCACTGCGGTTACCCTGAGAGGTGATCTGATAACTGAGATGCTACTAACTGGCTAATGGGCAGGGAGCATATACAGCATGAATTTGTTGGACAAAGGGATGATTCATGTCCTGAGCAGCACAGCACGAGATTTCATTACACCACCCAGAACAGTGTGCAATTTAAAACTTATGAACTGTTTGTCTCTGGAATTTTCCATTTAATATTTTGGAGGGTGGTAGACAGCAGGTAACTGAAATTGCACCGCGGATAAGGGAGAACTACTGCCCTTCCTTTGTAATGAATACATATATTGGACTATATGCATCCTTTTAAATCCAATTCTGCCAGTGTTTACCCAGCACCTGCGAAGCGGGCTTCACTGACAGGTGCACTAGGAAGAGCATCTCCCAGTGAGCAGGGGGAGCCAGAGGTTGATCCAGGCAGAGTGCCCGGGAGAGTCAGTGTTGGCTGCAGCGGGCAAGGAGTGGGGCATGTGGGCATCAGGCAGGGCATCCCCAGTGGCTGCAGGGCAGAGAGGCAGCAACGAGGAGGCCTGAGCAGAGCAGTGGGGCTGCAGAAACAGGAAGGGGAGCTTCTCTGGAGCCTGAAAGTGACTCTTCACCTTATATCAATTTATGTATGTATGTATGTATGTATGTATGTATTTATTTAGAAAATAGGAAAAAAACAATAAAGAAATAATGGTTTCTAACTCCAAAATTTCCATAAAAAATATTTTTTTCTGTTCTCTTTCCTCTGGCATCTGTTCCCAGAAACTGAAAAGAAAAAAATGAGTCCCAAATCTAATGGAAACCTGGCTTCACTGATTAGGCCAAAGCCATTTCAGATTTATCGACTTCTAACCCATAAGGTGAGCAAAAGATCTTCAAATCCAGACCTATAATTTTCCCCAAGAGATGCTTATCAGTGATTCCAACAAAGGACTACATGCGCTGTGGACGTTGATAAACCACCCGGAACAGCTCCCGAGGGAGCCTGATACCTTTGCCTTGGCTCCCCTCAAAGACGGAGGCCACTCCCCTCTGTTTATTTTCTCCAGGAGTCAGGCTGCCTTGCTCCAGCACCCAAGGGAGATCTGATTTCCTCTTTGATAATATGGCCCAACTCTCTCCCTACCGGACCCTTTAAGGAAAACATCCCAATTTCCTTCCTTCTTTAAAAGAAAAAAAAACAAGTGCTGGTTTGGGGGGTGGCGGGTGGCGGGAGGGGTATCTTTATTTGCTAATGGGAAATAAGGAGAGCCTGGCTAAATAACATCTCAGAGCACGCGGAGTTAGTTCAGTCCCATGGCCATGTTGCTGCAGACAGGGTGTTGGATTGCTGTGTGTAAGATCTAATAATTTCTTTA